TCCTGCTGCCGTTCAGCATGACCGAAATCAGATCATGTGGAAAAAGGTGCCTGATGGGCTGATGGGGACATGTAAGGAATAACTTTCCCCAAAACTTTCTTCCTAACCTCTCTGTGGAGGAGTGGGTCTCTGCCTTGAAGTGGTTTCATTAAGGAGAATGCTCAGTGTCTTGACACAAGATACTCAGCATCCCGTGTACTGAAACAGTTATTTCCTCTCTCCTTGTCTCCCTTTCCCCATTTTTGGCTATAAATAGGGCCCTAGCTTTTAATGTTTGGAGCTGTCCTGATTTTTCATTTGGTGCAGCCTCATTTTGAAGAGGAATATGTATTTTAAGATCTTGTTCAGTCCTAAGTAATACCTGTATATTATAGAAACTATAGAGTGAAAATATTCACAGGAGTGTTGAGCCAAATCATGCAATCCTTAAACTGGCAAGTCTTGTGTAAGACTGCATGCTTGGCCCCAGATAATCTCTTGAAGGACTTAACAGTAATGTAAAACTTGCTGTGAATAGGCTTTTGAATGTTTCAAATGAAGAAGTCTCTATTCTGATCTCAAATATGTGGATGCTCTTTGCCAAGTACCTTAAATTCATCTTCTGCACTTACAAGAGGATGTGACAGTGCTTTTTTTGTTCTTTTGACACACTAAGGAGCATGCGCTCAAATATTTGAAATGAGGACAACAATTAAAGTCTGATGTGAAAGGTGCCAGACTTACTAACTTATCTGTAGTATGGTATAATACACTTAACATAAAATTTAACGTCAGTTAAAATTGCTTGGTAATATGTATCAGGTAATATGATAGTTTGGTAAAAGCTTTGCAGAAAAAGCCTTAGTAAGAAATCTGGAAGTATTGTGTGTCCAGATATAATGGAAATGTTTAAACTATTTCAATGGATCGATTGTATCTGACATACTAGATATAATGGATAAACAGCATGCTACCACTTTTTATTACTTTAAAAAAATTTCCACAATTACTAAATATTTCCTCTCAGTATTTTTTATTTCTGCGTATGTAGAGACTAATTTAGGATGCCCAGGCCTTCAAACAGGGTTATCAAAACAATAAGACTATGGTGTTTGTAGTACTGAATAATATATAAGGTAATGATCAATAGTCCCTTGCAGGGAATACATTTCATCTTTACATTAGCCTGGCCATAAATTTTCCCTATTGGCTTGAACTTGTGCTGTGTTAGATTTATGTCATTCATGCCTGTTATTGATTAGTGCACAACTATTTTGTGGAAGATGCCAAATTAATTGTTCAAAAAATCCACAAAAGTGCTTTTTTATTGGCCACGTGAGGCTCAACACATACTATACTGTTATTTTATTATTTCATGTAAGTATAGCTTGCAGTAAGCTTTAAAAATAGTTACGTGGTGTGCTGAGACGTGAAAATTCACAAAATATATCGAACATGCTACCCTGTGCTTTATTTTGTGGCTCAGAAAGTAGCGTGATGCAGCAGCATGCTTCTGAGCGTTGCTGGATAACTCCTGTGAGATCATCATGGTCTTGCACGAGCGCTCCCAGATAGGAAACAATTTCCATTTTTTCCACAAGACTTCTAGGTTTATGCAAGGTTTGGCTGGTAGCATCCTCATTGAAGAGGTAAGCAATTTGCAGGGCAGGCTGCCAAAAAAAACCCCAAACCCTCAGAACCAGATGAGCTGATACTTGATGCAGATACTTGCTGTACTGTGCACATTGATGCTGAACCTAGGAGCTTTGCAGAAGCGGTGCTTCTCTGCACAACATTCTTATCTCTAGTGCTCAAACGTCTGCGTGAGCTTGCTGTTACGTGCACGGGAAGACTTAATCATTTATACACTATTGCTTGGGTTTAGAATATTTTAATTCTCGAATTTGAGATGAGTAATAAATAACCCACCAGAGAGAACGGTTACTATCTAGACAGAAATGTGTGAGACTCTGGACTAAAGATTTTCATTTCTCAACCCTCTGGAAGATAATACTGTGAGTAAATATTTCCCCATATTCCTAATGCACTGCTGCCTGGAAGTAGATCTTTTGGTTCCATGTGTAACGCTGTTTTCATTGGGCAATTCTGATTCAAATGTATTTTTTCAGAATTTATTTTGCAAGACAAAGTTCATGGGTCCTTTAATACTGCTAATTTTGGCAATCTAAAAGCTTGTGTATATTAAAAGCTTGAATGTATTATATGTTGTGCAAATCAGAATATGAGTGAGCTTTAGATCTGTGTTTACATGAGAAAGATTGAGAGTAATCTTTTAAGGACTTCACTGTTCAAGTACCATACTTTAAGATACATTCATTCATTCCTCATCTTCCTCCCAACAACTCTCAAAATGGGAAAACGCTTTTGAAAATAGCTTCTTGTCGGGCAGGAATCAGTCACATCTGCAAAGAAGTATCTTTCAATGGAAACAATATCTACACTGTTTGTTTTTTTCCTGCATTTTATAGGTATACTGGAATTTATCAGTATAGCAGTGGGCTTGGTCAGCATCCGAGGAGTCGACAGTGGACTCTACCTTGGAATGAATGAGAAAGGGGAACTGTACGGCTCGGTAAGTTCCCACTAGCCTTGGGCAGTCATGATCCTTACATTCTGTGGGAAAAATACTTGTGATGTCCTACAAGCCTCTCTTGCACCCCCCAGGTGCTGTACAGGCACTGTTTCTGCTCTAAATATCTTGCAGTCTGATTCGAAACAAGACCCTGTGGGTGGTATAACGAATACGGGAGAGGGAAAAGGTGACGAAATCAGGAATGAGGAATAATGCGGACGGACAACAATTTAGATATAAGCAATGGAGACTGATGGCCAGAGCTGGTCACTGAAGACTAAAGGATGCACTGTAAGATTTGTAAACACGTCCTTTCAGTAGAGACCTAAAACAAGACAAAGTCCCTATCTTTTGTGCGTAGGCAGAGAGCTTTCTAGGAATTGACAACAGAAAGTAGAGGGGGATGTAAAGGGTGGCGTATGTGGATGAGGAAATGAGAAATCGGAGTGGACAAAAGTTATAAAAAGTATAGGAATGAGGGCAAGAAGCTTGGTGGTCTTGTCCTGAAAGTTCAGCTGGTGCTCCCTGAGGAATGCAGCAGGAGGGAGTAACGGATGTGGGAGAGGAGTAAAACTTGGTATTTGAGATGTGGGAGTTAGGCTGGCGAAGCAGCCCACCTGCAGCTGATGGGTGACTGTTCTCGGCAGCATGAGCTGCCTTGCAGCAGAGCAGCGTGTGGGTGTGTGGGGACCCTGCCTGGGAATACTTGAGACATCTGACCTGCACTGGGGTTCACACCCTGGGTAGATCGTGGGCAGGGGCAATCTGAAATCGAGGAGGTAACTCCCCAAACAGTAGAAGGCAACCTCTTCTAGCAGTAAAGTGTCAACCTCCGAAGCTGACAAGGACTGGGGAAGCAGCTGTACTTGAGGAAGAGGATGGCAGGCTCGAAGGCTTAAGCAAATGTCTAAAGTGAAGGGAGGCTGTGTATTCACTGGGGTTCATTAGAAGCACGGATGAGAAGGTGACGATGTTGACTGATGGTGTAAATTGTTGCAGAGAGAGACTCTCAAAAAGGAGTTAAAGTGATAGAGAGTGGCTTTGGGTGTAGCTGAAGATACCTGTGTCAGAGGGGAGTAACGGTAACTGGGAAAAGCACAGGCAGGGAACGGAGTGGGACAGCAGTGAGAGTGGGAGGAGACATGAGAAGGCGGTGATCAGTGGGCAGGTGAAAACAGAAGGAGTAAGAGGGAAGTCCAGCTTCCATATATGTGATCCATGGAGGAGCGTGAGGAAGCGAGACCAGGAAGGTCCCGCAGAAGTGTTTTTATGGGTGTGTCCAGGTTCACTAATCCTCTTCTAATAACATTTTGTGTGAGAGAGGGAAGGTAGAGGGGGAAGAGGACGGTCTTCTGAGCAACAAGCAGGCTAGGGGAGGCAGTCAGAATGTACAGAACATGACAGTGTATGTGGGGGGCAGAAAAAGAGGCGGTAGAATTGAGGGGCAAGGCTGGGATGGAGAATATGTGGACATGGGAGAAGGGGAGTTGCACAGATGGTGAGAACCAGTGAGTGTGAAAGGCCAAAGAAAAGGGTTTTAGCATAAATGGTAATATAGAGGAGGAAAAGGTTGGAAGGATGGAGAGGAAGAGAGAAGGGGAATGCATGCCATGACAGAGGTAAACAAGTTGCCTGTGAGTAGTGAGTAAATTGTCGTAAGTCATAATCTTTGTGCAGCTGATAAATGGGATAAAGAACGGGCGAAGTCATGAGTACGTTTATGGTTCAGTTAGGCAGCAAAAAGGCAGAACAACAACAGTAATATGAATCAGTAATGTTGATAATCATTAGTAAGAGTAATCATTTAAACACATAAACATAGTGAATCAGTTGCTGTACACTTCAGATATTCAGAAAAAGAAAATCTAGTTATTGATAGAACTTAAATGCATAGACTTGGGAAAGCAAATGTTACATCACTTTTCTGTGTGATTTATATTTTGTGTTTGACTTCAATATGTTTGACTGTCAGAGTGAACTACTCAAAACATTCTTTGCTGAAGAAATATGCAGAAGAAATTCTTTGTAAATTACTATGCTCACCATGTTAATAAAATAGTTGTTCTGTGAACAGCAGTTCTAAAAGAGTCTTCTTTCCTAAGGGTTTGTGTCTCACAGTCCAAGACATGGGTCTCCCTGACCTTTTGTCCCTGCAGGAACACAAATTGCCTTTTGTGTTTCTTGCATGGAGGAAGAGACAGCGTTAGCTGTCCATGCTCACCGGGTTGTCACTTTGCAGGGATTACAAAGATCACCACTCCCAAGTGGGACGTGCAAATGATTTCTCTTCTTTACCCTGCCTCTGATTAGTTGCAAAACTGATAGGAACTTCATTTTCTTGAAGACCTTTGCCTCCTGATTGAAACTGGTTGAAAAGCTAAGGACAGGCAGGCAGGCAGATGGATGTACAATATAATTGGATAACCTCCTTTCCCTAAGAAATGACACTAAAAATATGAAGCCATTCATAATGGAGAACTGGCAATCTATAGGGCCAGAATGCAAAGTTCAGGTTAAAATCTGATGGATGATATGGCTTATTGTCAGCCTCCAGAGATGGGACACACTAAAGAGTGATGGTAATTGAATTACATTACTTCCAATGAAATATAACCTCTAATGGCTACTCAGTGTGATGATGCTTTAAAGCCTTGTCAACACTAGCAATCCTAGTGCCTATATTTCAGCAACTGTCAGCGCTTGTAGAAACACTGAGATAAGCAGGCCTCAGAGCAGATTTTTATGTAGAATTCGCTGGACATTTTTAAGAGACCGTGTTTTGCTTTTGGTTTTGTTCAAAAAAAAAAAAGGCAATTAATTGAAAATGAAGTTTTCTGTTGGGAATAAATGTTGCAGTTTGAACCAGAAGCAAGGCACAATCCAGCACAGAATTATCTTTCTGGCAAGAGAGAAGATCAGTTTAAATGAAATTAGTTTTGAGGCTGATAGGTGATAGAGTGAGGTTCAAGTTTTTCACCTGAATTAAGTGGAGCAGTCATGTGAGTTGAACTGTTCTGTAGCACCAGTAAGTTGTCCTTGTGCTGCCTGTGCTGGGAGGTGGGTCCCTCTGATTTGGTTTCTTCACTAAGGGCCGTGAATAGCACCAGCTTTGTCATGGAGCAGGTATGCTTACGAGCCTCTGAACGTGTTTTTTAAGGTGGGAAAACTGTTTCCCATGCACAACTGAGTAACAACACAAGAAATACCTGGTCCTTCTCTACATCAGCGTTGTGGATATAAGCAGGTGTGTTTCTGAAGGCATTCAGTACTGCAGCACTTGATGCTGCCGGAATAGATGCCCTGTGTCTATGACACTATCATATTTATATTCAAATTACTGCGTGAAAAATACGTTAGGTGTGAATCAAATTGGCGACCTAAAAGACTTCTATCTGTCTATATTTGTCTTTGAAACATTTGGCACGGGAAGATTTTTCTCAGCATATTTGTGGTGCCACTGGAGATGGGACATATGGCGAAGCAGAGCAGCCAGGATGGGCTATCGCTGCCAATTTTCATGAAAGGCAACAGTAAAGGCAGTTTCAGCGTATCTTGATCCAGACACGTTCCTCTTGGCCTTCTCAGAGTGCTGCTTTCCTCCTAGATTAGCTGCCTGACAAACTCTTCCCAACTTGCCACCGTTACAGGGAGCAGTTCCTACTGCATCTTCTGGTTAAAAGAGCACAGCGATTCTCACGCTGCTCTCAGGCTGCAACGTATAACATGGCGTGGCTCTTCTCAAGTTCTTCCTCATCCCACGGATTTAGCCAGGGAAAGCTGAAGATAGATGTATGTGGTACTGCAGTGAAGCCAGTGGTAGTGATGACTTGGAGGCTGGTTAGTGACGGCAGCGTTCCCTCCCGTCTCGCTCTGTTCCTGCTCTCCCTTACCTTGCCTTCCCCTTGCAGGCTGCAGCTATGACTCATCATGTTTCACAACAGCTACTGTGCTTGTCACTGGAGAGGAGGAAAAATCCAAACTACAGACAGGACCCGAAGGGTGTTAAGACGAGACACGAAGACCTTTTTCCTTCCCGAGTGCCAAACGACTCTTGCCAACACCTCTGGCAAGAGTGTTAGCAAACGTGTCTTAGCTGTGCTCCTTGGTGCTGTGCCATGGAGGTCTTTCTGATCAGTTCCACGACCTTCCTGCCTTCGTGGGCTGTCCCCACCCGCAGGCTGCCCTGCACCGCTGCCCTTGGGAATAGCGACAGTTGGCACTCACAGTTGGCAGGCAGTGATGAGCACCCACACCATGGGGTGCCCATCGTTCTCACTGCAGGCTGTCCTCTGAGGCAGTCCTGTGCTACCTCGAGCACAGCAGGACCATGGGGCACCCTCACCTCAGCTGCTCACACTGTCCCAGACTCTCCTGCCATAGAGAACTGTGCTACATCCCACTGCTGGCATCCCTGCCCCACCAATCTCCCATGGACACAGACCTGACCCACTCCTCAGACTAGATATAAAGAAGAAATTTTTTATCATGAGAGTGGTGAAACATTGCTGCCCAGAGAGGTGGTAGATGCCCCATCCCTGGAAACATTCAAGGTCAGGTTGAACGGGGCTCTGAGCAACCTGCTCTAGTTGAAGGTGTCCCGGCTCACTGCAGGAGGGTTGGACTAGATGACCTTTAAAGGTCCCTTCCAACCCAAACATGATTCTATGAAATGCTGATGTCTCCATTGCTCCTTGTGTCCTTGACAGGTGGCAAAAGGCAGCTCAGGCTGGATACTCAGGAGGAAAATTGGGAGTTGGAAGATCGGGAGCAGCTACAAGGGGAGCTGTGCAGCAGGGAGGAGGAAGGCAGGAAGGGAGATGGTGGAGTTGTTGGGGAGGGAGAAGAGGGCTAGGAATGCTTGGAAGGAGAGGGGATGGTAGAGGGAGAGAGAGGCTTCGTGTGCCCACAGGGCAGCTGGGGCAGAGCTGAAGAGCCCAGATCTGGAGCCAGGGAGGGAGGCTCCTCACCTCTGGCTTTCAGACTTACAGGGTGTGTGCAGC